ATTGGACAGATTTGAATTTCAAATCATAGTTAATTATGATTCATAATAAGAGGCAGAGGTTAATCTAGATTTGAACGACCAGGATTCGGAAATATTATTCATCGGTCTGTCCAGGAGTTGGATCCCGAACATCTTACTCAGAAAGCGCGTAACTATTAGGCTAATCAACTCATGCGAAGTCTGACCACAATAACCGATATACACTTGGTTGGACTTCGTCTTCAATAACTCAGTCATAGTCATCAAGTATGCTAGACTGCGTCTACAAATAACTTAGTCGGATTCGATGAAAACAGTTCCCTTCTGAGCGTCAAAAATCATGGATCGCATTTCAGATAGTAATAGTGACGGAGCAGATGTGTTTTAAAATGGGTTCGTCAATACGTAGAAAAACGTGGGGGTTTTATCACTGAATCTGACCTTGGGGCTTTGCGAATCTCAGTCCGCTAAAGGCTTCGGAGTAATCTATGTAGATTATTGCGCTTGGGGTTAATCACGCCCTTCCGGGGGAGAGGGGGGCTGGCACACCCTGCCACATGCCCAATGGTGGTGGATGACGATAGTTGTTAAAGCGACCCTTGACACTTATTTTGTCTATCTCATGTTTGATTCTTCCGGTTGTTCCATATCATGGGACTGCCAATGTAGATGCGTGGAATACAGAAATCCATGTGATCTTGTGTAAATATGTTTTATATAGCGAAGTTAGTCGTACACAGAGCGAACGAAGCGTGAACGGATGTACTGGATAGCTGTTTCAACCTGGTTCGATCTCAACAGCATTGCGAGTCCATCGACCCAACTGGAGATCAAACCTTACAAGTAGACCTTACAAGTAGAAAGCAAGCATGCGAACCACTTGAACAATAGACAACTGATCATACTGTTTTTCATTTTGCTTATACACGATACAGCACAAGTGATCTTTGCGAATTTGTCACGAGCATCTAATTTCGCTAATCTCACCACTAGCCTACCGGGTAATGACCAGGTCGGAAACTTTCTGAACCTGACCACCTCACGACTAAGGGAACTGTAAGCATGAAAACAATTAGGATCATACAATAGGGCACAAGGCACGATAAAATTCGTGTGACGCAATGCCGCTAAACAAGAAAAATCAAAGAATCAATAAAGCTGTTTCATTCTCTCTGTCTCTCGGAGGGGTTGTATGGGTGATTCCACACTAGCTCATTTTCAGAAATACTCACCCGTTTCTCAGTCAGAATGACCAATCCGAGCAGCTGATCTTCTAATCCCCTCATCGTGACCGTGAAGTCGATTACCGACGTTTTAGCGTACACTTCCGGGGTGTATGACGGATTCGGCAGTTTTGATGTGATGTACAAACAGAACCCTTTCATCAGATCACACTCTTTATCACCAACTTTGACTTTGAAAGTGGAACCAGATTTGATAAAATTCTTTTCCAGGACATTGTCCAACGCGGGATCCAGTTCCTCGCCAACATCTTCAATAAGCAACGGACGTCCAAGAGATAAGGAATCTTCCAAATGTGATCGGAAATATTTGTGATTGAGGGATGTGACCTGGTGGAAAACCAAACCAAACAATGGTTTCAAGTTCAAACAGCGAGAGGACGAAAGACGGAGAGATGGAATGCTTTTGAAGTAAAAAGCATCTTTTGCACAGAACTTTCGTCTCGGTCACACATACACACACGGAGACGGTAAGAGAGATTTTTTTAGAGTGAGCAAGACCTAAGCTACTGTCCTTGACAGGATAGTGAGTAAATGGAAGAAAAAACGCAAGGACGAATAGAAACAAAAATGTTAACCATGAAAAGAACCAGTCGGAATGAGGCACATGAGCGTGGCCCGTGCAGAACAGGGTCCAATTCACAAAGCAACAGAAAGTGGAATGAGTGGCGGCCACAATGGGTTGCGTCCTTCCTATCTGACTTCAGCGTCCACGTAACGCAAAGGTGAAGCTGAATTTAGCATGTCCATGCACAGTCTTGTTATGATTGTTCTAACAGATCCATATACAAACTTAAGAGGCCATAATTAGCAGTAGTACAGCAGCGATAAGAGCCTAACGGGCATCACTCATATGTATTACCTGCAAATCGTTATCCGCCTCCTTTTTCTTGATCCATGCTTTACCCTGACCTTGAGGATCAATCAGAAGTGGGTATCGTGTGGCTCGAGTGACGATCAAACCGTTCTGTACGGACAATTCGTCCGTGGGTAAACCTTGTACACTCCATTCGCTCAAGGTGGCATTGTCTACCAGCATGGTGATGTAGTTCAAATCCTGCAGAGAATAAAAGTGAAGCACAATGGACGCGTGATGACAACGAGAGAGTCCGGAACGGAGCGTAAAAGGTGCACACATTTGAGTGGAAAAATAACTTCAGTGGATGGCAAAATTGAAATGAATTGCACTCTTGTTGTTGTCCACAGGAGCTCAGAGATACACGAGTCTGTCGACTGTCGTTCTTTTGCGTATCAGTGGATGCTGTAATCTAATAATTTTTGATAAGCATAACCATGCACTCAAAGTGTGTGATCCATCATCTATGTTTTCCTTGGTGTTTCCAGCCTTGAACTGAGGTCACAAAAGGGACACAGTGAGTTTCAAGTTCCAACAAGAACAAAATGGTTGTTCAGTACTCGTTACCGGATTAGACAGAAAATTCTATTATAAATTGAACATATGCTAGTTTTCTTTACACAGAGGACACTTCCAAAATAAAAGATTTCTTTCCTAGATTAATTTATATAATTCACTGTAACATAAATCCGGTTCGTGATTATCCACCTCTCTCTTCCAGACATTTCCTATTTGTCGATGTCTCCTACGTCGGGTGTGGTGGGAACACCGGTTTAGTAC